CACAGGCTCAGGAGTTGTGGTACCCAGGCTTTAGTTGCCTGAGGCATGTGGACTCTTCCTGGACTGGGGATCCAACCCCTGTCCCTGGCATCGTAAGGCAGATTCTTATCCACTGTAACCCAAGGAGAGTCTGAAACTCTGCTGGCTTTAACACACAAAATGGTGTTGGTCCAGCAGCCCTTGCTGTGAGGAACCCCCATTTCTGGACTGACCCGGCCCCAGAGGTGGACCTGAGGCCCACGCTAGGCAACGAGCTATTTCATTTCCCATGGCCTCCGTGATTGGCTCAACAGGGCATCGGAGCCGTGTCTTCCCCTGGGATTCTCCTGCCAGAGCCAGGGGGAACAAGAGCCCCTCTTTCCAGGAAGGTGTCTGAGCACCGGAGAGTGGAGCCGGCATAGGAGGGGCCGATCTGGAAAGACAGAGCCCCGAGGCCATGGCTGAGGCCTGGGTGCCAACATGCCGGCACTTGGCAATTGTGCTAGTCGGATAATCCTTTCCCCTGAGCTGGGTTGAGCTCGGTTTCCATCTTTCGTTCACCTTTGCAGTCTCAGGATCTAGCAGTGCCTGGCCTAAAGTGGCACTTTGTTGTTGTTTAGTTGGTAAGTTGGGTCCGACTCTGTGACCCCATGGACTATAATGCCATGGACAGGCTCCTCTGTCTATGAGATTTCCGAGGCAAGAATACTGGAGTGGGTTGCCATTTCCTCCTCCAGGGGATCTTCCTGACTCAGGGATTGAACCCGAATTTTCAGCACTGGCAGGTGGATTCTTTACCACTGAGCCTCCTGGGGAGCAGAGTGGCACTTGCGTCTGTGCGTGATAAGTCACTTCAGTCGTGTCTGACTCTCTGAGACTCTATGGGCTGCAGCCTGCTAGACTTCTCTGTCCATGGAATTCTCAAGGTAAGAATACTGGAGGGGGTCACTGTGCCCTCCTCCAGGGATCTTCCCAACCCAGGGATCGAACTTGCGTCTCTTAGGCCTACCTGCATTGGCAGGCGGGTTCTTTGCCACTAACATCATCTCTTTATCACTAACATCATCTGGGAAGACCAATAGTGGCACTTACCCTGGTTCAAAAAATATCTGTTGAAAGCGTTTGGGGTCCACGTGGCAGTTATGTCTACTCTGTTCTGGACTCTGGGCAGGTCGAGCTGCTGGGCCACCCTCCCCACCAAGCACCCACCATGCCTGCCTCTACTTTTGTCATCCTTGCCTCTGTCAGGGACACAGCCTTCTTCTCTTTAGGTCTGCCTCAAAGGACCCCTGATCCTGGGATCTGAACTGACAACCTCCCCCCTCTGGATTCCTTGCTTTCACTCCAGAGGGGCAGCTCATGTCTCACCTACAGAAAGTGGCAGCTCCTTGCGGGAAGGGGTAGACACACCTGGTTTTATGCCCTTGGGGCCTGGCATCAGACTCACTCACTGGAAGCATCTGCTGGGGAGGGGTGGTAAGTGCACGCCTCTGGGGGGTCAGGCCAGTGACGTTAGAGCTGATGTAGGGCAGGCGGTTCCTTCTAAAGTGGGCAGCTCGGCTGCAGGTTGCCCAGAAGAAAGAAGGCCCCTAGGTTTCTCAAGAGAAGCGGAAGTCCATTAATAAGTATTTATTTATTTGGCCACACCAGGTTTTAGCCATGGCACACAGGCTAAATGTGCTGTATGCACATTTGGTGCAGTATGCAATCTTTGGTGCAGTACGCAAACTCTTAGTTGTGACATGTGGGATCTAGTTCCCTGACTGGAGATCGAACCTGGGCCCCCTGCATGGGGGGGCATGGATTCTCAGCCAATGGACCACCAGGGAAGTCCTCAAAGATTCATATTTTTATTTAAAAATCTCTTGGCTTGGACTTCCTTAGTGGGGCAGTGGATAAGAAATCCATCTGCCAATACAGGGGACTCGGTTCGATTCCTGGTCTGGGAAGATTCCATATGCCTCAGGGCAACTAAGCCCGAGCATCACAATCACTGAGCCCGTGCTCTAGAGGCCTCAAGTCACATCTACTGAACCTGTGCAACACAACTGCTGAAGTCCGTGCACCGTAGAGCCGGTGCTTCGCAACAATAGAAACCACTGCAATGAGAAACCTTCCCACCACAATAATGAGTAGCCCTTGCTTGCCACAACTAGAGAAAACCCGAGTGAAGGAATGAAGACCAGTGCAGCAGAAAATAAATTAAAAAGAAAGAACTACTGTGAAGGGCAAACAATCCGTCAGTGGGCTGGTTCCTGCCAAGGTCTCCCATTTGGAGACTCTGCTGGGAACAAAGGATGGGTGAATGAAGGACTCCATGGCCAGGGCTCTAGAGAAGGTGTGTGTGTTGTGACCCAGCCAAGGGCGAGAGTCGGGGCTGATGCCAGCCAGATCACTCACCAAATCACGTGGCCAGGTTTGCACTGTGTTCCAGCCAGAGGGTGGTCTGGTGGTCTTCCAAAGCAGGTGGCTCCCTTGTCAAGGTGGACAGAATCACAGACAAGGGTCAAAACCACGTCAAGAAAAAAAAAAAAAAACCACGTCAAGAGACCTGGGTCTAGGGTGACCAACTTATCCTGGTTTGCCTGGGATTTTCTTGGTTTTAAATCTGAAAGTCTCACACCCCAGGAACCCCAGGCAAAGCAGGGTGGTTGGTCACCCTACCAGGATCCCTCTTCCCACTGTGTCTGCCATCTGCTGGAGGATAACAATCGTGGCAGGTGACACATGTGAACTCATTAACTGCCAGACATCATGTGTTAGACCTGCGTTGTCCTCCTTATGTCTTAGAATAGCTTCATGGTATGGGTTTGCTGTTGGTTATATGGAGGAGAATTGGAGGTTCAGGAGGGTGAAGAGATTGGCCCATGGCCGGTAGGGGTGCTAGGATTTGAACCCACATTGGTCTTGCTCTGCCTTCTCAACTCCACTACCAGAGAGCCTGGCAAGCTGGCCTGAGCCTGCTAAACCAGGAAGCCCCAGAGAAGGGCCAGGTCTCGCTTCCTCAGAAATGCACTTACCTGGTTAGAGGTCCAGACCAGGTCAATTTTTGCAGTGGTAAAGAATCCGCCTGCCAGTGCAGGAGACCCAGGAGATGCGGGTGCCATCCCTGGGTTAGGAAGATCCCTTGGAGGAGGAAATGTCAACCCACCCCAGTATTCTCGCCTGGAAAATTCCATGGACAGAGGAGCCTGGTGGGCTACAGTCCATGGGGTCGCAAAGAGTCAGGCACGATTGAGCGACTGAGCATGCACAGCTCCCCACACCTGGCCTCCCAGGCCTGCCCAGGCCCTTCTCTCTTTTTTTTTAATTTTAATTTTTAAAATTGCATTGGTCATGCCACACAGCATGCAGGATCTTAGTTCCCAGACTGGGGATTGAACCTGTGCCCCCTGCACTGGAAGGGTCAGAGTCTTAGCCACTGGACCACTCGGGAAGTCCCAAGGCAGGTCTCTTTCTGCACTTTGGCTCCCGGCTCCTGAGTGGGACAAGCTGAGAAGCCCTCAGGAGGGCACCTTTCCATTTCCAGAGCACCCTAGCCCCGTCCTGTCCCTCCACCCTGTGCCCACTGCACATACAAGGGAGGAAGCCGGCGCTTGGAAAATAAACGCTGGCCAGTGATTTATTGCCCAGTCTGGGGAGAGCTGTCCAGAGCAGGGGTGGGTGAGAAAGCGGGGCAGGAGTGTCCCTGGGGTCTTGGGAAGCTGCCGAACATGGGGCCCAGTCCCAGTAGGGGTGGGCGTGGGCCTAGTGTGGGGTGAGATGGCTGGTCAGGTAGTGCATGGCCAAACGGATGCCCTCGATGGTCCTCCGCTCCACTGATTCCAGCACGTGGGTGATGGTGCGTAGGGCCGATCTAGTCCTCACCACCAGCCTGGAGGACAGGGCAGAGCTGGCTCTCCCCAGGATGCTGGAGACGGAGCGCAGGCTGGGCCCCGGGCTGTGCAACAGGTCTGACATGGAGCCACGGCCTGTGGCCAGGAAGCCCGTGGCTAGGCCCATGGTGGCATCGGACCACACCAGGATGTCTGCCAGGGAGCTGATGGACCCCTCGCCCCCACCCAGCAAGCTGGTCATGGAGCGCATGTAGCTGTTCTCGCCAGCCATGGAGTCCAGGTGACCCATCCGCGGGGCTGGTGCTCCGGGGCCCGGCAAAGCAGAGGCTGACGGCGAAGCGTCAGGGTCAGGGTTCAAGGCTTCGGGACCCTCTGGCTTCTCTTCAACAGCTTCAGGGATGTCAGCAGTCCCAGGGTCAAGCTGGTCCTTGGGGTCGGCGGTGCTCATGATGGGCTGAGCCTCCACGTTCTGAGGAGACTGTGCCTCGGCACTTGGGGTGGCTGTTGCTGGCTCCTGCTCTCTGTCTGGGGTGGCCACTGCTTGTGGCGTTGCTTCCTTAACCAGGGAGATAACTTGGAAAATCTGAGGATTCTGAGTCCCGCTGGAATCTTGCACCAGGACTTTCTGCACTAGGTTCTGGAAGTCCGGGGAATTTTTCAGAATACCTGGGGCCGGATCAGCAGGCAGGGCTGTGGCCTCCCTGGACTCCTGGGCTTCCCCCTCGGCAGCTTCATGCTTATCTGCGTCCCTGGGCTCTGACATGGCCCCCAAGGTGGCTGGCTCAATGGAGGCCTGATCTACATCCTGCCGTTCAGCTGATGTTAAAGCATTAAGAGATGCTGGGTCATCTGCAAAGAGGGGGACCTGACTTTGGGACCCCACTGCTGGGATGTCTGTAGACCTGCTGTCACCATGTAGAGGGTTGTTGGTGGCTCCGGCCTCTCCCAAGGGCACGGTGGTCATCTAGGCCCTTTGTTACTTGTGCTGGTTGAGAGAGTGGCCATGGCCCTGCTGGGCTGAGCTCCCCAGATGGTGAGGTCACAGGGGACTGTCGAAGCTGGCGATGTCACAGGTACTGGCAGAGCAAGGTCCCCGCACCTCTGGAGTGGCTGCCCTAGTGGGCTGAGTCTGTGGGACTGTTTGTAGCCATGTTTGCAGATGTCTAAGGAGACGCAGGTAAGTGTCTTGGAAAAGCAGGGAGGTTGTATACAGGGGCAGGTGCCCACCAGGAATCAGGATGCTATGGCTCTCACAAAAGGATGGGATGCAGATGCCGATTTGTAGTAAATGTTATAAGGGACCACTCCCAGCACCTCTCTGTCCACACTGGTGACTCATTTGGCCAGTCCGTCTGCAGAGACTCGGTTTCGCAGCAGTGGTGAGTAGGAACAAGGGAAGGGGAGGGGCTTGGGCAGCTCCCAGCCCTGACTGTCTTGGTTGTGGGGAGCTATAGACTTAAGGTTTGTGTTTCACCACAAAGTTTGTATGGTTGAAAGCTATAGTACTTGGAGGTGGAGACTTTGGGAAGTGATTGGGTCATGAGGGTGGCACCTTCATGAATGGGATTAGTGCCCTTATAAAAGGGACCACACAAAGTGCCCCCTTCTCCATGCGAAATGCAGCTAGAAAACAGCTATCTATGAACCAGGAAGCAGGCCTCACTGGACACTGAATCTGCAGCCCAAATGTGCTGATACAGGGGTTAACCCTGTGATATAGAATAAACAATCTCCATCTTCTCCCTGCTTAGCTAGGCTGAGAGGGCAGAGAATAACAAAGGATCTATAAACCCTCTAGTGTTCTCTGGAAATGTGTGGACCCAGGTAAACCTATTCGAGCTTGTGCTCTTCTTTAAGAAGGTGGTTGGAGTGAAGGTTCCAATCTGTTGTGTCTCGCTTCCCCTGGGGTTATCAGCTAATATTTAGTGACTGCTTATCATGGGCAGGTGGCTCAGATGGTAAAGCATCTGACTACAATGTGGAAGACCCAGGTTTGATCCCTGAGTTGGGAAGATCCTCTGGAGAAGGAAATGGCAACCCACTCTAGTACTCTTGCCTGGAAAATCCCATGGACGGAGGAGCATGGTAGGCTACAGTCCATGGGGTCACAAAGAGTCGGACACGACTGAGTGACTTCACTTTCACTTTTATCATGGGCAGAAGAAGGAGCTAAACATCTAATCCTTCCAACTTCCCTGTCATCTCTAGGTAGGTGCCATCCATTATTATACCCATTCTATATAGGGGGAAGCTAAGCTTCAGAGGGAATAAGTGACTTATTCAAAGGCACATATCAATAAGCACTGAATCTAATTTGAAACCTGTCTGGCTTCAGAAGTCAAGTTCTCCAGCACTATTTTGTACACAGAAGGGATATTAAAATATTGAATGACCAGCATGGTAAGGATACTGGCTAATGCAGAGAGAGGCCTACCATAATCCAGCCACATCAGTAGGTAACAGTTGCTGTCAATTCTCCCAGCACCAGGCTCAAACGTATTTCTTCTCCCCATGAAAGCTCTGCGGCCATCTGAGAGCAGGGCAAACCCAAGTTTGTTGCGGGTGGGACCACCTTCTACTTGGTGAAGAAATTTTTGAGCAGACTGCTAGTTGCTCACAAAAGCCTAAAGTCTAAGGGAAAATTTCTGCACAGACAGAGTTTAGTGATGCCTTCAATATTCAGTCTTCTTTCTCTCCTTCTCTCCGTTTCCCCTTCCTCACTGATGGCTAGATTTTTGGGAAGATTCCTCTGCGTGCAGGTTGCTAGCACCTTCAGGCTAGTGCAGAAACCCTGGCCCTTGGTAATTAATGGCAAACATCAGGCCCTGAGTCTCATGGGCCTTCTCTGAAGGAGTCAACACAGCTTGGGGACCACACCCTGGTTGGTCAGGCCTGGAATGGGGCTCGGGGTCAGCCCCACTGAAACACAAGGCCTGTAAGTGGAAATCAGGTTGGTCCCCAAAGGAAATTGGGTGCCGTTATCAAAAGAAGGCAAAATGGATGCTAGTCAAGAAACACAGAAAAGATCCACTCTATGGCGATTATAGACATCTAAAGAAAGTCTACTTATTGGGGAAAAGCCTGGCAGGTAATGAAGCAAAATGTTCAGAAGAGACTCTGATTATTGTGACAAAATTGGAAAATACACATAAGCGAAAACAGGTAAATAGCAATAAAAATAAAAACACCCTAAGCGATATGGTAGACTGAGTGAGTGGGAAGCCTGTTACATAGCACACTCACACAAATATCATATAGGGTTAATATCTATACTGTAGGAACTTCCCAGGTGGTCCAGTGGATAGGACTCAGTGATCCCAATGCAGGGGGCTGGGTTCGATCCCTGGTTAGAGAACTAGATGGCACATGCCACAACTAAGAGTTCACTTGCCACAGCTAAAGATTCCACATGCTGTAACTAAGAGATGATACAACCGAATAAGGAAGTCAAGGAAGGCCTGGAGACCCCTAGAAGATGGAAGAGGCAAGGAGGGCCTTCCCAGAGCCTTGAGAGGCGAGTGTGGCCCTGTTGACAGCTTGACTTTGGACTTGGGTCTCCAGAACCATGAGAGAATGACTCTGTGTTGTTGTCAGACACCCAGTCCATGGTTATTTACCTTGGCAGCCGAGGGAAACTAAGATAGCCTCCCATGGTGATGGTGATGTCCAGTTATTATCACTCTCAGCACGTGCTCAGACACCATGTACTTGTCCTCCTCCGACGTCTCATGGTTAAGTACTGTTACCACCTTGTACAGACGGAGAGACTGCAGCTCAGATAGAGGAAGACCTGGGTATGAGACAGGCTGTCTGGTTTGAGCCCACACTCTTCACCCCTGCATGATCAGGCCAACTGACATTTAGCAGCCAGCACCCCTTTGGAGCAGGTCAGAACTTTGTTTCCACAAACCTGTGTGATCATTTCTGGGGCAACGCCCCCACCCCCGTTGCCCCAGTACCTGACGTTTCCACAGGTTTTCTACATCCCCTGGGATGGGCGCCTTTGCCACAGGCACTGCTCAGTGCTGCCACCTTAAGGTGGCCACCAGGATCGGGCCAGACCCCAGCCTTCCACCACGGTTCCTGCAAGTGTGGGCCTGCAGCTCTTGTCTGCAAGAATCCCCTGGGGCCCTGTCCCTGATGAGCGGGGTGCCTGCGGCCCCCACCTGCCCGTGAGACCACCTTGGGGCCTGAGTCTTTGGTGGGTGCTCCGTCGTAGCTCTCACTCCCAGGGCAGCCACCTGAACACCAGTGTGCAGGGGAGACTGCAGTTTTTGCCTCTTGCCGGGACTCCCACTTCCTGCGTGTTCAAAACACTTAAGGAGTCGGAGCTCCAACCATTAGCAGGTGGTGTGGGAATTCCACTTAGAACCTACACTGGATTTGTTTGGGAGAAGCAGGTTAATAAGCCCCATGGGATGGGGGCTGAGACCCCAAAGGCATTCATTCTCAAATGACAAAGGACGTCACCCTGCTTTCTAAGGAGGTGAACGTGGTTATCTGGAGAGAAGCTTTGTTTGGAAAGAGCTGGGTTTGGGCTGGGAGCCCTACAGCCAGGCTGTTCTGCGGGAGAAAGGGGGTGAGGGCTTTGAAGTTCCTTGACTGCACTGAGAAGGGGAGAAAGGTCAGGCCTCTCTGGGGGTGGAGCAGGTGAGGCTTGGGGAGAACAGAAACATCTAGAGGGAATTTTTAAACTGTTTGTGTTGAGGTCTCCAAGGTAAACCCCTCACCTCCACAACATCAGAAATCAGGCCTTGTTTGCCAGCGCTTTTGTGTGAGCGCTGGCGGCCAGAGACGTGCAGGCCCCCAGGAGCGGGAGGGTAGGGCTTTCTCCTGTAGGCTGGCACAGAGCAGACTACCCTGGGGAAGCAGAACAGGGACAGTGGGGTGCTGAGCTACAAAACGGTGCTGGGACAATCGGTTAAGTTTTGGAAAAACAGTGGGTTAGTTTCTTACTCTCACTTGGGGATGAAAACTACAAAGAGAGAGAGAGAGAGAGAGAGGTCATAAGTAAACTGCAAATACTTGATTTGGGGAAGAAGTACTTTCTAAATATAGCAGCCAGTAAAATTCCAAGGAGGAAAAATCAGTCTAAAAATAGATCAAGGAAAACCTAGCTTTACTATGGCGGTTGGAGAGACAGCAGTGATCACACGTCGTCTGTTGGAAAGAACTGGATCCTTGTTTCAGACTACCATCAGAAAAACTAAGTTTGCTGTGTAGTGAGGATCAGCTCTGATCCTGATTGCAGAACATCCCTCATTACAGAATCTTGGAAGCAGCGGTTACTACTAGAACTGAATTCTGAAATTATAACTTCTGACTTATCCTAACACTCTAGAAAGGTTGTGTCTCTCACCTCATCTCCACGACCATCCCAGAAGATCTATAAGATTCCATCTGGGAAAACACTAGGAGTTCTTGGCAGGGAAAGAAGAGGATTGCTGGTTGGAATAAAAACAGGGTTGAATGAGTTCCAGAAAGCAGGGTTCTCAAACTCGTGGACACCAATCTGCCGAAGAAGACAATTTCAAAAAACCAACTAGAAGCAACATGCAAAGAAGTAAAATGAGAGGGACATCTGGAAAGAAGACAGCTGGTCCCCAGCAGAAGAATCTGGAAGCAGCACTCCCAGGCAGATGGGGAGGTCGCTCTGCTGAGAACCCTCCATCAGGATCAGTGAGGAAGACCAGAAAGAACAAACAGAAGACCCCTGGGAACGGAGATGGTGGCAGCACCAGTGAAGCACCCCAGCCACCTCGGAAGAAAAGGGCCCGGGCAGACCCCACAGTTGAAAGTGAGGATGCTTTTAAGAATAGAATGGAAGTTAACTTAAATAAAATTTGCTTCTAAATTTCAAAGCAAAAAAAATAAAAAATAAAAATAAAAATAGATCAAGGACTTCCTGGTGATCCAGTGGTCTAAGACTCTGTGCTGCCAATGCAGGGGGCCCGGGTTTGACCCCTGGTTAGGGAACTAGATCCCACATGCCTCAGCTAAGACCTGGCACGGCCAAATAAGTAAAGAAATTTTCCTTAAAAAATAAAAAGATTAAAAAAAAAGTCGAAAAGTAATTTAAAAAAATTTTAAGAACAAGACACAAACAAAAAATATTTGCTACAAATACCCTACAGGGTTAATATCTATACTGTATAAAGATCCCAGATTGAAAAGACACCATTATATTCCAAATAACACAATATGCAAACGATGAGAACAGACCATTCACCAAAGAAATCTAAATAACTAATAGCCATGAGACAAAATTCAGAAGTACTAGTGGTCAAAGCAATACAAGATTAAAAAAAAAAGCAAAACAAGATATCTTTGGGTAGTGGGATGATAACTGACTTAATTTTTGGGGGGAGCAAGCTTCATTTTCTGATGTTTCTCTAGTAATATTTCTTACTTGCCTTAAGAAAAGATTCTAAAAGTTAAAAGCACATGGTTTGGTCAAATAACAAATGAATAGCCTTTATCAGAGACTTTTTCGTTGTGGTGGATTGTGGGCAAGTTTTTTCTTTCAAGCTCTTGCACATTTTAAAATTTATACAGTTCATTTGCCCTCTCAACAATGGGTAAAAATCACTTGAAGCATTAGAACAAATTTGCAAGTTAAGATGAATTCCTTCCAGAAGCCTGGGCCCTGAATGTAAATAGGATTCCTGGGGCCACCCAAACACCCACTCTGAGTGGGAAGGGACTTGAACTGAGGGGCCACCTTCACACCTCCCTCTGCAAAACAAAGGGCGTACTTCAGCCCTCCTCCCCCCCCACACACACATGTGCGCGCACACACACACACACACACACGCACATGCACACACACGCACACAGGCACACACACACACCCCCCTTGCTGCTGCTAAGTCACGTCAGTCGTGTCCAACCCTGTGTGACTCCATAGACGGCAGCCCAGCAGGCTCCCGTCCCTGGGATTTTCCAGGCAAGAATATTGGAGTGGGCTTCCATTTCCTTCTCCACACACACCCCTTGGACTGCTGCAATTCCTAGGATGCCTTTGCTAGTCTCCATCTCCAGGGCCCACCCCCATCTCTCCCTATTCTCAGGTTTGGCCGGCCAGCGGCTGTGAGAGAACTCAAGTCCCTCAGAGGTCCAGTTGGTGGCTGTGGGGTGGCCTGGGCGGGGCACTGAAGGGACGCTTCTCCAGACCAGCCTTGAGAGGCCAGAAGTCTGCCCATGCATCCCTCCATCCATTCTTCTTGTATTGCTCCTGGGTGTCCGTACTTCAGAATGTGACTATATTAGGAGACAGGCCTTTAAGGTAGAAGAGGATCATGCAGGTGAGCCCTAGCTCAGTATGACTGGTGTCCTTTTTATTTATTTATTTTTTTTGGTGTCCTTTTAAGAAGAGGAAATGTGGATGCAGACACACACATGGAGAAAGCCATGTGAACATGAAGATGGCCACCCGTAAACCAAGGAGAGCAGCTGGGGACAGCGCCTTCCTTCATGGCTCTCAGAAGGAGTAGACACTGCCAACATCTTGATTTCTGACTTCTGCCTGCAGTTCTGTTGCTTAAGCACCCCCTCATCTGTGGTACTTTGTTCTGGCAGCCAGCTGACAGACACGGTAACTCCTGAGCATAGGATTAGGCCCTCAAATAGAATCACAGAGAGGGATTCCCTGGTGCTCAGTGGTAAAGAATCCACCTGCCAATGCAGGAGACACACGGGTTGGATCCCTGGTCCAGGAGGCTCCCATATGTCATGGAGCAGCTAAGCCCGGGTGCCACAACTACTGAGCTCATGTGTCACAAATACTGAAGCCCACGCACCCTAGAGCCCAGTGGCTGCAACAAGAGAAGCCACTGCAATGAGAAGCCTGTGCATGGCAACTAGAGAGCAGCCCCCGCTTGTCACAACTAGAGAAAAGCCCGCACAGCAAGGAAGCCCCATCACAGCCCAAAATACATAAGTTTATTATTATTTTTTTAAATCACAAAGAGATTAAAGATAGGTATCTAGTGGCAAAGAATTTATCATCTAATTTGAGAGACAGGTCACTAATCTGCTGTCACAAGGTGGCCTAGTAGGTCGAATGCACATTCCCCAAAGTGTACAGGTTCCCTGGGTTTGGGATGCTGGGAAGACTTAACAGGATGGCTAGAGGTCAAACCACGGTGGTGAGGTCACAGGGTTTGGTGACCTCAGCCTTCCCAGCTCTCTTCTGGCTCCAGAGATCTGCTAGTCTCTTATGGGGGCTGGAGGGTGGTAAGGTGGGACACGGAGTGGGGGCAGAGCCCTGAGCTGCCTCCTGCTCCCTGCATTGACCCAGCTTTGCTCCACCCCTAGGGCATCCTGTGGATGGTGACCTGTCTGGACAGTCTGTGTTTCCCATGACTGGGACTCACTTCTGCCCCTTTTCTCCTCCCACCAGGGGCCCTCAACTCAGAAGGAGTGGGGAGAGTGGTTCTTCCACCTCAGGTGGGTTTCCCCAGAGGTATTGCTCTAAGGAAGATGAGCCTTAGCTCTGAACTAATGGTTTTAGCCTCCCTAGTCTGGAAGGAACAATTTGGAGAAGTGGTGAAAGATATGGGCCACTCCCCAGACAAAGGAAATGGCAACCCACTCCAGTATTCTAGTCTGAAGAATTCCATGGACAGAGGAGCCTGGCAGACTATAAAGTTCATTGGGTCGCAAAGAGTTGGACACAACTTAGCGAATGAACAACAACAACCACCTCTAAGATCTGAGCTGTGTCTGGTTATTTGCATTCCAGGGACCAGCGGACCCCCAAAATCCACCTGCCAAGTGACTGGTCAGTCCAGGGCTGTGCACAAGTGGAGGGAAGGGTGGTCAGGGATGGGATCCAGGTGGAAGGCACCAAAGCAGCAAGAGTGGGCCTGTGGGGAGGCAGTGGGAGCACCCTGACTGATGCTGGAAGGAAGCCTGTCCCTGAGGCAGATCTCACTTTCTCCTGGAGGCCAGGGGAGAGGGATGGAGGAAGCAAAGCTTTGGGAAGATTTGGGGAAGAAGCCTCTAGGAGCCCAGCTCTGTAAGAGCCTGCCTGCCACACTGCAGCATGAACAAGCATTTTGCAAACATTCCCCAGAAAGACAGGCTCTGTCTTTCAGAACAAAGCAGGAACAGCAAGGCAGGAGGCCCAATCAGGTTTTGAGTGAATAGAACAGAAAGTCTCAACCTGCCCCAAACAGGAATGTGTTCATGGGGGACGATCAGCAAGGAGCTTAGGAAACTGGGGTTTGGGGGTGGACAACGTTGTCAAGGTGAGAAGGTGATGTCCCCAGTGTGTCCCTGGAGGGGAGGGACTGCCAGCTTGCAGACACCTAGACAGATCCCACTCACCCCACCTCCCACTTTGTGTCCACACTCAGCCAGCCACCTTGGGTGTCCCTTGGCTTCTGTAGTGGATTGAATTGTGGTGCCCAAGAAACATATCCACCTGCAACCTCAGAATGGGGACTTACTTGGAATTTGCAGACATTATTAAGCTCATCTCCAGATGAGATGATCCTGGATTTAGGGTGGGCCCTCACTCCAATGACTGGGTCCTTGTAAGAGCAAGGGGGAAGATGCTGGGAATGAGGCAAAGAGGGGGAGGCCATGTGAAGATGGAGGGAAATGGGGGCCAAGGAACACTAAGGGTCACCAGCGGCAAACAGACGCCAGAGAGGAGCATGGGACACGTTCTCCCTCAGGGACTCCAGAGAGAACCAATCCTGTTGACAATTTCTAACTTCAGGATTCAAGAACTGTGAGAGAAAAAGGCCATCTTTATAAGTTTGCACATATAAAATAGATAACTAATAAGAAGCTGCTGTATACCTCAGGCGACTCCAATCGATGCTCTGTAATAGCCTGTATGGGAAAAGAGTCTAAAAAAGAGTGGATATATGTATATATATAACTGATTCACTTTGATGTACAGCAGAAGCTAGCAGAATATTGTAAATTAACTACACTCCAATAAAAATTAAAAAAACAAAAGTTTGCAGTAGTTTGTTATGACAACCCTAGAGATGAAATACAGCTTCCTATGGTGATCACAGGTGTTGGGAAAGGATCACAAGTGTAAATGAATTTCGGAAACACTGGGCTTCCCGGGTGGCTCAGCAGTAAAGAGTCTACCTGCAATGCAGGAGACGTGGGTTCTATCCCTGAGTCAGGAAGATCTCCTAGAGGAGGGTGTGGCAACCCACTCCAGCATTCTTGCCTGGAGAATCCCACATACAGAGGAGCCTGGTGGGCTATAGTCCATAGGGTAGCAAAGGGTCGGACACGACTGAAGCAACCGAGCGTGTGTCAAACTAGAGGTTTCTTTGCTGAGGAACGTCTCAGAGCCTTTGACAGGCGACAGAGCCCTTTTGAGTTTTCAAGGTGGGGGCAACCAGTATTGAACACACATTTCTCAAGCTTTTTTGACCAAGGAACACTCATATATTAGTCAGCTTGGGCTGCCAAACAAAATACCACAGACTGAGTGGCTTAGACAACTGACATTTGTTTCCTACAGTCTGGAGTCCAAGATCAAGGTGCTGGCAAGGTTGGCTCTGGGGAGGGCTCTTTTCCTGCCTTGCAGACGGCTGCCTTCTCACTGTGCCCTCACCTGGCCTCCTTTCTGTGCATACATGCAGAGAGAGAGTCAGCGAGAACACATGAGAGCTCCAGTGTCTCTTTCTCTTTTTATAAGGACATGAGTCTTGCTGGATTAGGGTCCTATGCTTTCGACCTCGTTTAATCTTGATTACCTCCTTAAAAGTATTTCTAAGTATAGTCACATTAGAGCTTCAACATACGAATTTGCAGTGGAGTTGCGGGAAGAACACAAACACCTTTCGCACTGACACACCTGGGGAGATGCAAATTTAATTGCCTTGAACTTGACCCCAGGGATAGGGGGTGGCAGGGGCCACTGTTAGTGAGCAGGTAGCTGTCATCCATCCATGCCTGTATAAGGATGTCCTTGGTACGACAGGAGAGAAGAAAGAAGATGTAGGAGGTATTTTTTGAAGGTCACATCATCTTGCAGCTCCTCCTGTCAAAAGGAGTCTATTTTCTTGAACCGCTGAATCAGGGCTTAGCCACGTGACTTGCGTCAGTCAAGGGGACAAAAGGAAACATGACACAAGCAGAGGCTTAAAAAGTGTTTGTGCACTGGGGCTTGGCTTCTTTTACTCCTTTTGGAGCCCAGCTGCCAAGTGAAGGAGTCTGGCCAGCTTGATAATGAGATTTGTGTGGCCTAGTTGCCTTTGTCACCCCTGCCAAATGCCAGACATGTGTGTGGGGCTGTCTGGACCATTCAGCCCCCAGCCTGTACCAAGTCAGCCTTCTCAGTACTTTGGGGAACATCTTTGTCACCAGTTTTACTATTAAAATTTTCTAGCCTTTTAAAGATATTATCATGAATATCAGGGGCATGCGAGCTCAGCTGTGTCCACCTCTTTGTGACCCCATGGACTGTAGCCCACCAGACTCCTCTGTCCATGGATTTTCCAGGCAAGAATACTGCAGTGGGTTGCCATTTCCTTCTCCAGGGGATTTTCCCGACCCAGAGATTGAACCTGCATCTCTTGTGTCTCCTGCACTGGCAGGCTGATTCTTTTACCGCTGTGCCACCTGGGAAGCCCATTAATATGAGGTGAAAAATCTTAAACTGATACCCCACAACAATAGGATGTGAAGTTTATTAGATTGGTCTCTGAAATTAGCCATAGATTGGCTAGAGAGAAACTGGAAATGTTTCGAAAGACAGAATGTATCAAACATGAGAACACTGACCTATCTGGGGTATTTTTGAATATCCCACTGGAAGGAGCTGGTGAAACACATGGGTTTGCTTGAAAAGCAATTCCCTCTTGAGAAGTGGCACCATCTTTTGAAAACCCAGCTGAAATGACTGTCTTCGTTAGTGTTGGTTGTCTTGGGAGCATCAGGGACAAGGAACGCCAGCGAGAGCAGCTGATGTGAGGCACCTCCCTGGTGTTCTCCCTACTTGACCTGGCTCTCGGCTGCCCCCTCGCGCTGGTTCTGTGGCACTGCAGGAGGCTGCCCATCCATTATTCTTAATGCAGGCTCCTGGCTCTGTAGGTGGCATCCTTCCCACCCATGGGCCAGAGTGAGGAAGAGGATTGCACTCCATGCCTCACTCCAACTCCCACTCTAAAAGCTACACATTCACTGTCACACCACAAGGTATCCAGGGACAGGAGACTATGGGTAATTATCAACCATTGACTCCGTGCGTGCATGCTCACTCAGTTGTGTTTGACTCTTTGCAACCCCATGGACTGTAGCTTGCCAGGCTCCTCTGTTCATGGGATTTTCCCAGCAAGAATACTGGAGAGTGGGTAGCTATTTCCTTCTCCAGGGGATCTTTCTGACCCAAGTATAGAACACAAGTCTCTTGCGTCTCTTGTACCTGGCAGGCAATTCTTTACCACTGGGCTTCCCTGGCGGCTCAGATGGTAAAGAATTAGTATGCAATGCAGGTTCTTGGGGACTGGAATACAAAAGCAGGAAGTCAAGAGATATCTGGAATAACAGGCAAGTTTGACCTTGGAGTACAAAATGAATCTGGGCAAAGACTAACAGGGTTTTTTCAAAAGAACATACTGGTCATAGCAAACACCCTCTTTCAACAACACAAGAGATAACTCTACACATGGACATCACCAGATAACTAAAAGAGATATTCTTTGCAGCTGAAGATGGAGAAGCTCGATACAGTTAGAGAAACAAGACCTGGGGCTGATTGTGAGAACGTGAGCTCCTTATTGCAAAATTCAGGCTTAAATTGAAGAAAGTGGGGAAAACCACTATACCATTCAGGGGTGTGTGTGTGTGTGAGTGGCTCAGTCATGTTCAGCTGTGTGGGACCCCATGAACTATAGCCTGCCAGGCCCCTCTGTCTATGGGATTTCCCAGGCAAGAATACTGGAGGGGGCTGCCATTTCCTTCTCCAGGGGATCTTCCTGACCCAGGGATTGAACCCAGGTCTCCTGCATTGCGGGCAGATTGTTCACTGTGAGCCAGCAGGGAAGCCCAGACCCTTACGGGCTTCAAATCCATTGTGATTATACAGTGGAGGTGATGAATAGATTCAAGGGATTAGATTTGGTCGAGTGCCTGAACAACTATGGATAGAGGTTCGTAACCTTGTACAAGAGGTGGTGACCATAACTATCCCCAAGAAAAAGAAATGCAAGAAGGCAAAGTGATTGTCTGAGGAGGACTTACAAATAGCTGAGAAGATAAGCAAAAGGCAAAGGAGAAAGGGAAAGACATAACCAACTGAATGCAGAGTTTCAGAGAATAGCAAGGAGAGAAAAGAAAGTGTTCTTAAATGAACAATGCAGAGAAATAGAGGAAAACAATAGAATGAGAAAGACTAGAGAAATCTTTAAGAAAATCAGAGATACTAAGGTAACATTTCATGCAAAGATTGGCACAATAAAGGACAGAAATGGCAAGGACCTAACAGAACAGAATAGATTAAGAAGAGGTGACAAGAATACACAGAAGAACTATAAAAAAAAAGGTCAATAACATGGATAACCACGATGATGTGATCACTCACCTAGAGACAGACATCATGGAGTTTGAAGTCAAGTGGGCCTTAGGAAGCATTACTATGAACAAAGCTAGTGGAGGTGATAGAACTTCAGCTGACCTATTTAAAATCTTAAAAGAGGATGTTGTTAAAGTGCTGCACTCATATGCCAGCAAATTTGGAAAATTCAGCAGTGGTTGAAAAAGGCCAGTTTTCATTCCAATCCCAAAGAAAAGCAATGCCAAAAAATGTTCAAACTACAGCACAATTGCACTCATTTCACTAGCAAGGTAATGCTCAAAATCCTCCAAGCTAAGCTTCAACAGTATGTGAACTAAGAACTTCCAGATGTACAAGCTGGACTTAGAAAAGGCAGAGGAACCAGAGATCAAATTGCCAATATCCGTTGGATCACAGAAAAAGGAAGGAAATTGCAGAACATCTACTTCTGCTTCATTGACTACACTAAAGCCTTTGACTGTGTGGATCATAACAAACTGGAAAATTCTTAAAGAGATGGAAATACCAGACAATCTTACTTGCCTCCTGAGAAATCTGTATGCAGGTCAAGGAGCAACAGTTAGAACTTGACATGGAACAGTGGACTGGTTCAAATTGGGAAAGGAGTATGCCAGGGCTGTATATTGTCGCCCTGCTTATTTAATTTATATGCAGAGTATATCATGCAAAATGCTGGGACTGGATGAATCCCAGGGTGGAATCAAGATTGCCAGGAGAAATATCCACAACCTCAGATATGCAGATGACACCACCCTAATGACAGAAAGCAAAGAGGAACTAAAGAGCCTCTTGATGAAAGAGAAAGAGGAGAGTGAAACAGCTGGCTTAAAACTCAACATTCAAAAAAAGAAGATCATGGCACCCAGTCCCATCACTTCACGGCAAATAGCTGGGGGAAAAGTGGATATGGTGAAAGATTTTATTTTCTTGGGCTCCAAAATCACAGCCATGAAATTAAGACTCTTGCTCCTTGGAAGAAAAGCTATGACAAACCTAGACAGTGTATTAAAAAGCAGAGACATTACTTTGCCAACAAAGGTTCGTCTAGTCAAAGCTCTGGATTTTCCAGCAGTCATGTACAGACGTGAAAGCTGGACCAGAAAGAAGGCTGAGCACTGAAGAATTGGTGCTTTTTGAACTGTGGTGCTGGAGAAGACTCTTAAGAGTCCCTTGGACAGCAAGGAGATCAAACCAGTCAATCCTAAAGGAAATTAAAAAAAATAATAATAAAGGAAATCAACCCTGAATATTCATTGGAAGGACTGATGCTGAAGCTGAAGCTGCAATACTTGGGCCACATGATGGGAAGA